TTGTAAGAGACTACTTAGTTAAATTTTATTAAAACAAGTATAATGCTGTTGTTAAAAAAAAAAACATCTTTCCAGATTACATTTTCCTGGTGTTATCAGTGATCTAAAACTTGAAAATGCTTGATTTGACGATTTTTCCAGCAATTTTACCAAAAATGCACGTTTTTCAGTACATTCAACATACGATATCTTGAAAACTACTGAACCAATTTTGTTCAATTTTTTTTTGTTTTGTTTCTTTTTGACTGAGTAACAAAGTCATACTGTCAATAAAGCTATTTGGAATAATTTATTTTTTCACTGTACTCCCTAATATTTTCACGATAGTCTTGCAATTATAAATTCACTGGTAATTGTTGTATCACATAGAAATTCTGTGCCCTTGGAGTTGGGCGATGATGGGGAATTTATATGATTGAGGATGGTTTCACACACGACTCACCTGTGAAGTTTGAAAGAATTGGCACTGTATCTATGGGTTGTATCACGTTCTAAATTACTTGGTAAATTGATGATAGAAATAGCTTCAAACGGGCATTTCTGTAAATAATTATTGAGAAACCATTAAAACACTGAATAAATATTGAGAAAATAATAAACATGCCAACATTACATTCCTTTTTCATACGCCCTCCGAATGGTCTGACAGGGGTTAAGGTTAAAAGAGTCGACTCAAAAATTTGTCTACACATGTCCATTTAATGTAACCAAAAAGGAATGATAAACGCATCGTTTCGACGACTGACAAGGTGCATGTTGGGTATTGTGATATCAAGTATGATATTTAATAATCAAGTTGACTCGTGTAAATACCCAAAATTTATTTCCCAAAGAATAATTATTATGATATAACAAATGAATATATCATGTACTCAAATCTTTGGTTGCCTTCTCATAAATTATTAACATAACATAAATCCACACCAGCAGAGCTAAAGTGCAGTACAAATTATATAAAACTTTTCAAAACTTTCTATGAATGGTATTTTCAGTGGTTTTTGTTGAGAAATTGAGTGTCCAGGACTTCTTAATTAAAATAACCACAAACCAATCACCACAAATAACACTTACGGTAGATCACTTAATTTAACAAATATTGCATTTCTCCAGAGAGGAAGTATTTTAACTGTCGTCTCAGAAGTGATGCAACTGCTCTAACTAACAACTGATTCCTACCTTAGCGCATATACCACACCCAATACATAATTCTTCCGAGATGTATGCTATTTTATCGTTTGACGTCACTTCAATACAAAGCTTTCCTAGAAAATAATACAGATATTGTTACAATATTAAGTTACCAAGCCACTACTCAAGTACCTATACATCATCTGAAAACTTGGATATAGGTGAAGACGGTAGGGCAGTTGATGTACCAATGTTTGTCTAGGGATTACATGACAACCAAATTGCCCTACATAAAGTGAGTTTGTTATTTACATGTATTCCATTGACTATTGAACATTATTATACACCTGTCATCGTAACTCTATTTGTGAAGTGAGGGGAATCCTGATAAAATCTTCACAAAATCTCTTCAAAATAGTTTGATGAGTGACATTTAGCTGTGACAAGTATAAGCGAGTGGAGGGATAGTTCAAATTGTACACCATGATTATACTCACCCATTCTTACAACAGGACATGACTTCTTGCATTCCTGACGACACCTCTTAGGCTTACACTTGTCTGTACTCACTATAGCAATACGTGTTAACTTGTCTTGAGACATTTTGCCTTTTCTCCTGTAAAAACACAATCACAATGTCACCGTATTATTAATGAAGATACTACAGACAGGTTGAACAGATTGAAGTTATTAAGTGTTTACGCATCACAGTATAAGCAGAGTTGCCACTTATAATAATTATATGTTTGACTAATTGAAGAAATTTACCGTATCATGTTGGATTGCTGTCTCAGTGGTATTTTTCAGATTATTAGAATAATATTTGAAAAAACAAAATAACAATACTAGGCTTGGTAATCAATAATCCAACACCGGCAACATAGTTTTTAACAAATTTTCTACTCTTACTCTCACTTTAAAGTAAATAGTAAAGATTATGTTCTGATAAGAAAGTAAACCGCGTATACAACCATTTCCTACTGTTGTGAAACACTATTTCAATACTATTTGATGTGACATGCGCATAGTCCGTGACAGTCCTCTCCAGGTACACATACAATACGAACACGAGAAGGGTTAACGAAAGGTTTAAAAAGACTACGACAATCACTGATTTGCGGTGAAAACATTCAAACACCGACTACGACTACGACTTCAAAGTATGAATGGGAACCATCGTCAGCATGGCTAATATTAAAGAATACTCAAAGCTCAATATGGTACAGACAAGGCGAGAAATAAAACTACTTGAAAAATAAAAGCTCACAGGTGAACAATTTCGAAACTTACCCTAAAGAAAAACGAATAACTAGGATGTTATTTAAGATCACTTTTAGATACGAGTTTCAAATATTCTGAGTATTACGAAGAACTTCTTTTCCAGACATCACAGTCGGAAAATCGCTTCCGAAGTAAAATGGCGGTGTAACACGTGTGCGCATAGCTCACTGCGCACACATGTGTCATTGAGCTCGCTCGTACCTTGTACAAGGTACGAGTTTAGTGCGGCAAAGCCAGACATCTAAATATACAGAGGGCGCACTGCAGAAAACACAGTTGTCGATTGCTCACGTATGAAGACGGTGGTCTGCATCTCACAGCACGTCATTTTAACTACTGACCTTACATTGATTCAATATAAATATACATTCGAATCAAATTTACAATTCTCTGTATGTTCTGTTTCATAAATTGGTATTTCTATATCAATCAAAATTTAATAGACTACATTTTGTTCGTGGAAGTGTGCTGATTCAAGTTGCAGGGTTTAGGGTCATCTCAAGTCAGATATGCTCGCCATATCCTCGGGCGGACATCCGGGCATATTCACTGCCTGGCAACCCGCGGCGGTGAAAACAAAGGCCCCAAACTCGCAGAAAACGGTACTTTGGGATGATTGTTGAGACTCCTCTGAACAATGCAACAAAATTAGCCCTGCGTGTGTAACATATATACATTTGGTTGTTCGGGATTACTTTAAAGTTGAGTTTGTGTTGTTTTCTCGTCGATTTTTCACCAGCTCGACCGCCGGGGTGGGGGGGGGGGGGCTACTTCCACATTAAGTGGGTAAGGGTATGAAGCCCACCTCTCGTAAACCATACTCACTTCTAAACCATTTTTTTCTATTTTTATACCCACTTCTAAACACAAGTGTTTTCAGCGAAAAAAAACAACACCCAGCTCACAACTTTCGCAAGCAGTGAGCGCATCCGGGCAATGCATTTTATTCAGCCTTTTCCGGTATTTGGCTTACGATGAATCTCAGACTAGTCTTACTAATTTGAGAATGAATATAAGGACCTGTGAAAAAGTACATAAATGCTACACACTTCTAAACCAAACCATTGATAAATGACCACCCACTTATAAACAAAATAACGTGAAATGACACCCCAGTCGGGCGGCACATACCCGTATTGCACTTCTAAGCAAGTAGCCCCCCCCCCGGCTCGACCGGCGTTCCACAGCAGCGCATTATATTGGTATATTGAAGTTAATAATTCTACAATTTTATAAAAAGATGGAGGGTTGCAATAGTATTTTGGAAGATAAAATTGACGAAATTCAGAATAAAATGTGCATACTAAAAGGGAGTGGTATTCGTTTTTCAATTTGATTTGCCTCACATACATTACAAAGCCGCTAGTCTATCGCAAGTGTTCCCCTGTCAGTTTCGATGCCCAGGCTATGCGAAGAGCAACGAACACGTGCTAAGGTTTTTCTGTGGGAGTTTATAGTGACCGAAGTAAGATATTTTTTCTGCTGTAACGCTGTTTTAAATTCGCGATATGTCACGAGTTTCTCAAACGTACATATGTCACTTAGCCAGTTATGCTGCAAGTAACATTTAAATCTGACAGTATCAACGTGTTTGTATTATTTACTTCCTGACTGTACCAACAATTTTGCATATTACAAATAAACAACAAATTCTTTATATCAGTGATCCATGTATGCTTATTTCTAACTCCAGATTCTTCTATACTGTAAGGCATATCATACCATTTACGGGGATATCTATTATGGGGCATGTTAATTAATTTTGCCCAATATTTTGCACAGTGTTTCGCGGTATACAGAACAATGATATACCTCCCACACTCGCCTAATAAACTGTTGGGGGATTTTTGTGAGACACCAAGGTAATACCTACAAACAAGAAGCTGGATTCGTTCGAGGCGATCATACTGTCGAAACCCACAAATTTCAGCACTATATGTTAAAATTGGCAAAATCTTAGAATCAAAAAGTTTAAAAAATACTAGTACATCATAATTTAGGGGACCTGTTTTGTCACTTTTTTTTCATAATGGCAAACATGGCATTTTTGGCTTGTTGTGCTAAAACCTTTGTTGACGCCGACTATAGAAATCTACAAGAAAAACAACCACAAGATATTTATAGTAAGAATCTGCCTCGATTTCTTCACTTTTATAAAACCATTTTTCATTCTTAGACAAGTGTGCACCAATTTTAAAAACCACAACTTTTGTTTTTCCCTATTCACTTTCATTTTCCACCTGTCACGGTTACTCCTTAATCTTTTAAAAGATCTTTGCAACCCGATCACCGTATCGGAAAACATTGCTACATCATCTGGAAATAATAAGCAAAAAAGTTTGACAGGGTCGGGAAGATCTTAATGCCAGGATCATTGCGTTGCTGAAATACAAAAGACAGTTTGTTTATGAAAAATAAAAATAAAAAGGGACTTAGCATGCTGAACGCCTACAGTCAAAATATTGCGATTTTTTCCATTTGGGGTGCGGACACAAGATTCCACGTTTGAATATATGCTGGACAATATTTGAAATATTTTCATACCCCCTTTAACTGAATATACCACAACATTTGTCTATCAACAGTGTCAAAAAACCTTCGAAAAATCGACGAACGCACAATACAATTCCCCCCGTTTTCTTGTAATGTACTGCACAATAAAAATGTTATCAAACGTTGAGTAACACTTTCCGCCGGTGCTTTGTCGATCTTACCAAGTGTTTCTGCCCAAATATACAGCCGTCTATTTAGTATCGAAGTAAAAAAAATTACCAAAGATTTTGAGCAAGTAATTGCTCTATAATTCCCGGGTTATCAGCGGACCCTTTTTTATGTATTGGAATGACAATTGCTCTTGGCCAGACGTTTGGGAATTTTCCTGATTCAAATATTTGGTTAAAAATGATGTTTAAAATTGGGGCAATGGCAGGAAAAGAGTTTTTAGAGAATTTGCCAATCAGCTCGTCAGGGCCTGCAGATTTACCATTTGTAATACTAGCAGTGCTATGACCAATTTCGTCAGCTGTGATAGGCCCATTTAAAATATCCCAATCAATTTCCATAGTGCTAGGTTGAAATTCGTCAACTAATTTAAGTAGATCATGGAACTCGTCTGCAATAGTAAAGTTATCCCTTGCCTTATCACCTACAAAGAGCGTACTAATGTAGTCATACCATTTAGCTGGTGTGATAGACATATTTGGTTTGGCAGAGAAAGGGTTATTTAGTCGTCTTAAATGACGACCAAAACCGATTTGTATCAGCGCATATCAAATTTGACTTGATTTGATCTATATGTTGACGTTTTTTGTCCCGCAAACATACTTAAACCTTTTACTCAATAAGTGGTATTCATGTAAATGAGTTGGGTTATTGGTAATTATACGAAATTTGCGTGACAATCTGTATTTCTCATTTTTATTTTGTTCACAATCATTGTCAAACCAAGGTGGTTGTTCTGTATGTGTGTTTGAAATTTTCTTTTTTATACCACATTTATCAGCTACAGATCGAAACAACTATTAAACATGGCGATCAATGAAACAGAGAATTAATAAAAAATGATATAATGAGTAGACGAGTCTCAACTCAGTTACTAAATGGTAGACGAGTGCGAGGGAATTGACATCCTGACAAGTGCGTTTGATTGGATAACAAAAATAATTGAGAGCTCTCATATTTTGGCATTTGGTGGCGCACTTTTACTTCGGCTAGAATCGGAAAGCCGGAAACAGTCGACTGCTTCAGGATAGGGGGCATGGCTACAACACGAGAATTACCTCAAATTTACTCGGATACGAGTAACCATTTTCAACACAAATCCAAAAAGGAAATGTCTTGGTGGGCATTTCACTGGCCCTTTTAATTATGGAACTTAACTATTGTTCACCCTTGAGGGGAACTGAAATTTTTCGCTTTTAGGTGCGTCATAATAAGCGAGGTTGGAAATAGTGTTTATGCTATGAACAATGAAGACCTTGAACGTACTTTAGCGCAAAGGCATTTTTTGTTTAATTACCAAGACTTTTAGGTTCATATGTTGCAAGTTAAAGTACACATACCTAAGCAGCCGTCCCCCAGCAAATGATTAAGCCCAGGCATTTTCCGTGTCAAAATCGCGAGACTAACGTTTTTAGGTAATCTTGGAAGTCCGAATTACTAAACGTAAATATTCTTGGTATATTTTAACTCTAACCGGACCGGAAGTGAGAATGTGTTATTATGCTAAATATCGAACATATTTTAGTATAAGGTAGTAACTATTACTTGTCAGTGTGTTACAGTGTGTGTCAATGTAATGCGTGTTAAGTACTGGACTTACCACCACTGAAATTACTGAAAAACAAAAGCATTTGATCTGATACAGACGGCTTGTTTGGTACACACTGAAAAATACGGCTTTAGAATGTACAGTGCAATGTGGATTAACGAAGTGACAGCATGTAGGAGTGATACATGTGAAAAAGAAAATAAGCTGCTCAGATATCAGTAATTTCGTAATTCCCTTTTAACGATTTCAACTATTTTTAACCGAATGACTGAAGTTTTATAATATTCCAAGTAGACTTTGGCTACGTGTACATGTTTATGTGAGTATTGCAGCACGTTTTGTTTTCCCAGTGTTGCCGACTTATTTCTGTTCCTAAAATCATTCTTTCTGTAGCATTTATTCGTGATCTTTGTAGAACGTATTTGGCTTGGTGTGTTCGCATTTTCACACTGATGCCACAACAGGTTGGTTATAGATAATTGTTAGAACTGTACTTACTGAGAGTTGAAGTATGGCTACAATGGCAGTTACTGTACTTTAATGAAGTAATACTGTGAATTTAAGTGCTTTTCTAGCAGCCCAATTGCAGTTTGTGTGTTGTTACAGTGTACATGTGTTAAGTCACGTTTTGTACATGTCACATACATGAACAGGAGAGGCCGCACGTGTTAGTTACCAAAATCTGAATTTTGTACAGAACAATGGTTCGGAGATAAATAATTCAGCTATAACATATAGGAATATGTTATAGTCATATGTTAACCAACCATGTGAACACACTATAATAATTATATATGAAAAAATAACATCGCAATACCTGTGCATAGCCTCGAAATAAACATAAAATACAATAAGCTGA